CATCACAGATGAAATAAACCTGGAATGTCACTACAAGGACTAGAATAAACTCCATAAAAGTCAAGAAAGGCAAAGCTGTGCTAAGTATCCATCTTTAGCTGGATTTATGAGTTCTGAAAATTATTTTATTTTTGGTACCAGGAATTGAACCCAGGGGCACTTAACCACTGAGCTACACCCTCTGCCCCCACTTTTCAAAAAAAACGTTTCATTTTGAGACAGGGTTTCCCTAAGTTGCTTAGGACCTCACCAAGTTGCTGAGGCTGGCCGTGAACTTCTGATCCTCCTGCCTCAGACTCAGGAATCTGACATTATAGGTATGTGTCACTGTGACTGACTATAATGGGACCCTTTAAAAATATAATGAAAACTTCTATTATTATGGTGATTATTATTAATGGCTGAAGTTACTATTTATGAGGTGGCTGAAGTTACTATTTACCACATCCAATGTGCAAGATTCTTCATCTCTAGTATTACATTTATTTTCATAAAACCTCATGTGGTAGATATAATTGTCCCCATTTTATCCATGAGAAAATTAAGGTCTGGTTAGGTAGGGTGACTTCTCCAATATCACTCAGATAATCAGTGACTTTAGAGGCCAGAAATAACTAATATCTGATACTGTCAAAAAGGTCAGTGGGTAAGATAGTTTTTGTAAGATCTTAAAAGATGATATCTGGTTATCCATCTCAGCCCACACTTGGTAAATCCTGTGAAACTGCCTAATGAAGAGCAGAGTTCTGCACCTTATGATTCACTGTGGATCCCACAAAGGTTGAGACTGACTGGAAAACCAACAGAGTTGAAACAGCATTAAACTCATCCTCTAAGACATTATGTCTACATTTTCTACTTGGCCTGAGATGGGATGAGATAAATGCACACCAAAAGAAGAGGGGGAAAAAAGAACACTTTGCATTTTTAATTACTTGAACTAGTTATCAAAGCATCCAGATGGGAGAATTCCATATTCCTTTCCAAACAAGGAGTTCACATGTCCCCAGTGAAGAACCTGAAACTGGTGTTGGAGACAGAATGAGGCTTCCTTGCTCTTCCGAGAGACTGAGCAGGTCATGATGAGGCCAGATAGCTGATATTGGTATTAGAAAGCTGAGCTGGTATAGAATTAATAGAGCCACCCCTGACTCTTCCCATTTTGAGGATATGTTTTTTCCTCCCACTCTCATTTTTTACATTTTTTTTTAAATTTACGGATGAAACATACTAAAGAAATACAGTTCTTTTGAATGTTCTTGCTACTTGGTAATAAATTCCAATACAGAAATAATAAATGGTCTCAAGTTTACCAATGCTTTGGAAATCCATTGCTKCCAAATATGATTTCAGACTGTTAATATGAGTCAAAGATTTCTCTCTTTTTAAAACAATATAAAGTTCTAGTCACACTGTCATAAGGTCAGCAAAACATTTTATACTGTGAATTTCCTTAGTATGTTCCATTAAAAAACGAGAAATTGTGAAATGGGATATAGTCAGACTCCTCAAAATTGGAATAGTTAGAGGGCTGGCTCTGTTAAATCTGCAACAGCTCAGCTTTCTTATACCAATATCAGCTACCTGGCCTCAACCTGACCTGCTCTGTCCCTTAGAAGAGATCTTTGGCTTATACTAACAGCATCAGCAACCTTCAGACCATTCATTATTTCTGTACTGGAATTTATTACTAGCAAGAACATATTTACATAGGCAAAGTGTTATCTGGTACTTTTAGAGTAACACCCTAGAAAAAATAGGAAAATATTGCAGTGTCCCTCTCCCAACCTGTCCTGACAGGTTCAGAGACAAATCTAGGCAAGATATGTCCATGAATGTGTAAATGCCCATGCTACAAAGACAAAAATGATGAGTAGCCTCTGATCATAGAGATGAWAGGAACAAGTAGATGAAAGACAGCTTTAAGAGAGAGAAATAAATGGAAGCACCTTTTAATGAATTCTCCTATTTTGGCAGTTTGGTTCATGCCTCTGTAGTGATAAATAGTATCAGGGCCCATTTAATTCTGCAGATCCCATTGATCCTATAGGACGTCTCTGTCATTTTAAATTTAAGAACAGTAATGAAGCAAACATAGTCCATTCGGACCACCTAGAATCCTCAGCACTTTACTTCCAGACTTCTATAAATTCTCTTTCTTTAAGACCTTATAAAACTAAATACCCAGATAGCACTTTTGACTAATGCAATTTTATATTTGTGTATGTGTTTATTTAAATTATATCCATCTTCCTCATCATAGAGGGCAGAGAGTATCTATTGTTCTTTCCATTATGCTAAAGCTTAGTAGAATTCCTGATAAATAATTAGTGCTCATTAAATAATAAATAAGTAAATTCCTAAATAAATTAATGAATGAACAAATGAGCAAGGAACTCATTCCTAGGGTTCCCCTACTGCAAGCCAGCAGGAATCAGGAATTATGTGATCTTCTTCAGAGAAGAACTGAACCAATAAACCCACTTTGAATGTTGACAAGGTGTTAATGATTTAGCAATGCTACTATTAAGGTGATTTCATTTGAGAAAGGGAGGAAGGAAAGAAAAGAATGAGAGAAAAAAAGAAAGRAAGTGGAAGAAGAAAGATGAGGGGGAACAAAAAAGAGAGATACAGGATAAATAAGTGGATTTATTTATTGATATTTATAAGGTGGAATGCCAATCATCAATCAGAAGCTACTTGTCTAAGGGATAGAAAGGTAAGCTTCACTCTGTTCAGCTAGGAAACTATTTATAATAACAAAGTCTGGGTATCTGTATGTTGTTAAAGCAATATGATATTTCATTCTCTATAGAAATGATCTGTTATCTGCCTATACATTGTTAAGTCCCTATTTCCCTTTGGGAAAATTTCCTGATTTTCAGAATAAGAATAAGAGGGCTAAGAGTGGAGGTCTTTTAATCGGGTCCCTCAAAATCAGTGTCTTTACTAAGGTAAACCAGGTATTAACAGCAACAGCACTGATCTACTCTRCCATTAAGGAGCTGAGTGATCTTGGACAAATAACTTTAACTTTTTGAGTCTGTTACCCTAGTTATAAAGACAGAAATATTGATATTTATTACATTTCTCAGAATAACTAATCTTAAGTGAAATATATAAGGCTTAATGAATTATCATGGCAATTTTTAAGTATCTCTGTAAAAATTAATAACATCACAAATTTTGGGGTGTTGCTCAGGTCCTTAGGCATCAGTTCTTTGAAACCGAAAGGCCAAGGTGTTGGGGAATGAGATTGATCAAATTAGATTATGTGTATATATAAATATAGCATGATATATCCGTATAATTATAATCTACCAGTAACAATTATTTAAAAACTCAAAAGGCCTCATTTACTTATCTGGGAGGAATATGGAAGACTATTTAAATAAGAGCAATAAAAATGCTTCCTCCATGGAGGGGTGTGATTATTTAAAATCTCAGTGTAATTCGACCTCAAAACGTGCTCTTATCACAAACAATTCATGAGTGGTGGACAGCAACTTACCTTTTAAAGAAATAACCTTACATCCACAATGTGAAATTGTCAGAGTTTGAATTCTTAGAAATATTGTACCATAAATTGAACCACAAGTTAAGAAAAAGCAACATGCAGTAATGATGCTGTCCCACTGATATTTACATACAATAAATCTCTGAAATCCTATAGAMCAATTTCTTAAAATAGTTTTGTATGGCAAAGATCTAACTGGAAAATAATGATTATTTGGAATGTTTGTAAGCAATCACCTTTTACAAAATGCATGTAAATTTAATTATCCTCAGAACCTAGTTTTTGAATTCTTTAAAAATACCCACAATAGTTATGAACGACCAACAAAAAAAAAAATACCCACAATGTGTCATAAATACTGCATTTCTGCTCAGAGCAGTGATCTGGAGTCCCATGGTCTGCCACAGATAAAATTCCTCCCTAAGGATAAGAATGTCTTCCCAGCAGTCAAGCTACTGAGTACCTAGAAAACTGGATGTAAAATTGTCAGCTCCCAACTATTTAGCAGGAGAAGGAATGCAAGCATTCCAAAGAATTGACAAAGAAAAAGAGATTCAGAATGTTCTTCCACTTCAGATAACTTCCTGTGTGATTTTTGATATGAACACATGTTACCAATCAACATTTTAGCCCAACCAACTGGGCAGGTGACTGAATCAACATGGAGCTAAAACCACAGCCTACAAAAGCCACCATGCTTCAAAACAGTAAATACAATGAATACACACACACACACACACACACACACACACACATATACACACACACACACGGACTTCAGCAAGAATATAAACGTTGGACACCAAAAACAGTTTTAAAACTAGAACAAAACATTCCATTAATCCATAATCTAAGGACGCCTTAACTAATCTGGAAGGCCACATCACTTAACAATTACAAAGAGACACAGAGAGGCAGACAGACCATTGGGAGATTTTATGACACAGCACCACCTGCATCTATTTTTTCTAAAGAAAAGAAGTGATGCAACTTTTGATAAAACACTTTCCTTTATGAGRCTCACGATGATTACCAAGTAGAGACTGGACTAAACCAGTATTTCCCATTAACTACTCGTGCCAAAGCAACTACTTGGTGCAACCATTTGCACCAATTTTATGACACAGCGCAACCTACACCTATTTTCTCAACTACTCGGTGCAACCGTTTGCTCCAATTCCATACTTTAAATGTCTGGAATAGCCTTCGGTCGGTCTCCTTCCAGGATTCTATCAACTTCCTTTTATTCCCAGATTATTTCTTCCATTAAACATCTCATTTAAGGAAATAGAGACGGGAATAAAAGGATTGGCAGCATAATGGAGGGGAGATGTTGTTTGTCACCACCTCCTTCCACTAAATTTTTTGTGCTTAGCAGAACTTCTGCAGGACTTTGGTCTGCACAGCCACCAGTGGAGGGGCCCCTGCCCCCAGAGAAGCTTACAGCAGAGTTCCCTCTAGCTGGATTCTCAGAGACACTTACAGCTTTCAATTTCCAAGGTGCAGTTTTGTTCATCCAGTGGGTACCGCCGCAGGTCCATCATGCAGGCAGCCGTGGTTGTGATTCTAGAAGAGAAAGAGCAATATGCATCATTAGCAGGGCCATGACCTGAGCTGGAAAGTTAAACCCAGGTGTCTCAGATAAATCTGGACTCTCTGGGTGACTGTGATTTAGCCTAAACTCTAAAGAAAAGAAGTGATCCAACTTTTGATAAAACACTTTCCTTTATGAGGCTCATGATRATTACAAAGTAGAGACTGGACTAAATCAGTATTTTCCTAAGAGTGGACCATTAACTACTCATGCAAAAATCACCGACTGTGTTTGTGAGGCAGGCAGTTCCCATGTCTGGGTGCAGTCCCCCGACTGTTCTATCAACCACACAGGTAAATGAGAGACAAGCAATATTCCTCTTCCTCTCAGGTTTCCTCCTTCCTTTCTCAAGACCCTAAAATCGCATTTTTCAACAACCTTACCTTCAATCTACCATTTTTCACCTTTCTTTCTATAGTAGACTAGTATGCAAGTGCTTTAAAACTTTTAAACTTTACATCTCCTGAAGAAAACTAAGAGAACAAACTAATGTTGAATTTGACCAACTTATGCTTATTGTGAGGAGCACGATGCTCTGTGCTGGGATGAGGGGAAAAAGATGTAGTTCTGGCTTGGAAAAAATAGTGTATAGTTAGATTTTTTWAATTAAAAGAACCTTGAGTACAGTTTAAACCTGTAATCCAAGTAGAAGGAGTGTATGGAATTCCTTAGAACAGCATAGGATTGTCAACTAGAGATTAAAAATATTCGATTCACTTAGTATAAAGAATCATTGCCTCCTTAGGTTGATAAACTTTTCTACAGAGGTATATATTTTGTTAATTTTTGTTTTCCTTTTTTATATGTCTGAAGATCACTCTGATTCCTTCCTTTTCTTCAGCAGGCCCTGTTGGCTACTCTGCTTTAATCCCTTACCTTTTCTACTACCTGCCCCTGAGTAGGTGTCCCCCTGCCTCACCTCCACACAGGAGTATAAATTAGATTTTATACTCCTCAGCTTAAATTTTTCAGTGATTCTTTCAAGAAAATCCCAAGTCCTGGCTRTGGCCCATTATGTTTTGGAATCTCTGTCCATGTCCTTCTTCCTGATCACCTAACACACTGTGTCCTTGATCAGTGTCCTTCAGCCATGACACCTGTTCTTTCTGCCTAGAACAAGAATCTTCAAGGCCTACACAGAGCCTCTCTTCTGATCATTCAGCTCAGAATCACCTCCCCCAAGAAGCCCCTCCCCAGCACGCCACCAAAGTGGCTGCCATGACTAATGGTCCATTTCAGGTTTCTACTCATTTCCTTTAAGCAATTACCACAATCTGAAATTATCTCGATTATTCATTTTTCTTTGAACTATTTCTTCCAATAAAGTTTACGATGTGTAAGGGCACATTCCACTCTATTTGTGGCAAGGCACTCAATATACATCTGTTGAATAAATAAACATATGGATTTTTAAWGACATAAGCAGTTGGTTTTGTTCACTGTAAATCTTTGTATTTGAAGGATTATTTTATGGCATAATTTATATTCTTTTTTAAATTCATAATGTGTCTTAGATTATAAAGGTTCTTTTTATATTTTCAACAATAGATATAACTTAACCGATTTAAGCAACCCTACATAAATAATACTAGAGTTTATCTGATTGTCAGTTTGATTACTTTTGCTTTCATTGAGATTTACCAGATTTCTATATGCCATAAATCATATTAAAACTAACATTTGCATCTCACTCTTTTATCAAGGTTGAAACATTACAATTCATTTTAACTAAGTGATACTTATATAAATTTYTCACTGATTGTTTTGTTCATTTGTGTTTTTAGATGAAGATACAATCTGAATTGCTGCTAAAAGAGACATGAATATGCGGAATGGAAGGTTTCAAGGGAAAAGAGATTAGATACATGATAGGCATACCAAACACCAGTATTACCCTTGTAAAATAGCAGAATTAATTCCTACCTGCAGAAATGGAGAAAATTAAATTCATTGAATAAAATGAATCCAGAAGACAAGAACTGTAGAAAGGCATACACATAATCAAGAAGGCGACAGTTACAGAAGGACAAACTGCAAGTGAGGTGAAATCGCAGTGTTGCTATAGGTGGTGGTGATAATGCACATTCATGGCAATTGCCATCTCTGAACCAATGCCATGGACACCAGGAAAATAAATAGCTAAGGCTATCACAGGAGCAAGTCCTCTTCATATATTAAAAATAAGTAGAAGAAAGTGTTTTTCTCACATCATTCATACTTATGTCTGCTTTACTATTTTTTTAATTGCAGAATACATTATACAGCTAACAGACATTAAAATATTTTCTATTAACTCTTCACAAAGCATTGGTAAGTGTCTCCTATTGGACAAAAGTAGGAAATTTAGAGCCAAAATCAACCATTTGGAATCTTGATCTGTAATTGCTGACACTTGGTTGCCCTGTTTTGCAAATAAAAACCTGCCATCCTAATTTGTTGTAGGATGGCAAAAGTAGGAAGAGATTTGTAACTCATATAATGTTCTGCACCTTCTGCTGTAGTTATTACTACMTGCTAATGAGTAGATACCATAAGATATTTTACCACAATTTATTTKTCTAGGCACAAGTTTATGTAAACAAAGAAATGTAGAATATAAAAACTTATAAATAAACCATATATATATGTACATATATATGGATGTAAATAACTTCCCAGAACATAAACATGCAAAATAAATAATTACTTAACATGTATGTATATGGAACTCTGTCAGACAGACTATATAGATGCATAACAAACCTGCATCTTTTTCAAGTGTTTTCTGAGATCAGGAACCACAAACAGTTTTGTCATGTTTGCATTTTAAGTACATGTTCCTGGTACAGGTCACCAATTTAAGATGATGATGATGATGATGATTATAATACCAATAATAATAAATTTAAAAGAAAAAAATCTATGATTTTAAGTATTCTCAAACTAAGAATTTCTGGGCAATTCTCCTTAAGTGCCTAATTTATGTAAAAGTTCTCAAGTAAATTTGAGAGTCAAGTCATTGTTACTGAAGAAGTTATCATGGAAGGAATCTTATTCAGAAAAGCCTAGCAATGAGCATCTGAATCTGTTCTTTGGGACTTTTGGATTTAAAACAGGACAGAGAYTCTACAGGAATAAGTCAATGCAATAAACACAGTTAATGGGGTTTTCGTGAATATGCCTCTGTGGATCCTGATAAACTTCAATAATGGCCTTAAATATCTCAACGCCCCTACACTAGCAGGAGACTATGAAATGAGGCTAGAAGACTTTTATGCAGGTATCCTAATTAGGTTTTAAGAATATATATATATATATATATATATATATATACACACACACACACACACACACACACACACACACACACACACACGGAGATACGGAGATAGCTCTGCCTTCAAGCAAAGGACACAGTAAACTATGCTCTGGAATGTGCCTTGTTTACCTCTGGAAAACCATCTATAGTCAAAGCTGGAAATGTCTTCTGTGGGGATGAACTATACCACATGATAAAAGCTGTGCCTGGAAACTGTCAATATTCTGCTTGGGCAAAGAGGTCTTTGGATAAACTTTTTACTACTTAGCTATTGGCTGCTGTCACCCCAAAATGAGTTTTGTCATAAAATACTAATGTACAGCAAGTAAACTAAGTACACCACATAGCCCAAGGAGTCACTAAAGGCATGTATAAAACCAAGAAATACAATAGCTCAGCCAGCATTTTTTAGCAAAGCCATAACAGAAATTTTATAGTGTTATGACCAGAGAATTAACAATGCTACCATATCATTCCAAGTGGGATATGATATTGTGAATTCAAGTTTGGATAAGACCAAAGGCAACTGTTAAGTAATAACTGATGGTTTTGTCACTCAGCCAATATGAAAAGCCATAGAATTATAATTAGTGTAACATCACTTAGGCCTTTCTGCAGACTCTTTAGGATTCAGAGTCACACAAATATCTGAGCATGTGAAAACCTGGTTAGAATTTCAACGAGAGGTTATAAGGAGTAAATAAAGTGACTTTGTACTTATGCTTTGGTTGATTCTTTTATACAGGTGACAATCCAATTCCATAAGAATTTATTGAACATTTTCATGTTAAAAGAAAATCACATGACTTATTCACAACTTTATTTGAAACATACTGTTCTGATACACAGCATRATTTTACTTTGCTAAAATACAGAATTACTTAAAAGCACAACATATTTTAATTATGAAGAATAAAAGGATCGTCTGGCACTGGGATGCATCATTATCACAGAAAAATCAACATGTTAAAAGTTCAGTTATCAAAAAGGTATCAATATGTATTTTTGCAAGCTTTAAAGCAAAAAAAAAAATCTAAGTTCAGAATTTCAGATCGGCAAATAAAAGGTCCAAATACTGAATTTAAACATTAGTGTATGAACCCAAATTTYGAAAAGTTCTCATCTGAGCCTCTTCCCTCAAAGGTCCTTTAAACACTTCTGTTGTCCTATTCTAAAAGAAGACATTATGCTGTGTCTTGCAACCACTTGGGTTGGGAAACTAATCTCTCCCCTATAACTCTCATTACTGTTGTTTTTTTTTATGGGCAAATATGGGAGGTTTTTTTTTTTATGGATCAAATATGGGAGGTAGGTGACTTCGGCTTTGGCTCTCTCACTTGTGACAAACATATCTAATATTAATTGATGACTCATTAATAAGTTCAAAACACCATTCTGTGTCACCGAAATGTATTTCCTCAATTAAGTCCGATTGCTATTCTCATTTTATAGATGAGAAAATTGAGACAACAGAAAGTGGTTTTCYCCCAAGAATCCCATGGTGAGTGGGAGAGCCAGGATGTGAATCTAGGAAGCTTTGCAGAGTCCACGTATTTAATAGTATGCTTTAACTAACTAGCTAGATGACCTTGATAAAGTAATTCAGCCTCTCTGGAAGATTGGTCAATTTCTTATAGCCCAAACAAGCTTAGAAATTCTATAGTCCTATGAAAA